AGAACACCTGAGAAGAGATGATGCAACCCCTCAGAGGACCTCAGATGATGCCAACCCTGAAACAACTTACAGAACTACCACATTTTGCTATAAGTTTGATTGCATCATATAATAATTGCTGTTAATAGTGTTCATCGTCTGTTTGATTACGTCTTAAATTGATTTTTCCGTACATTTCTGCCATATGTACATTAACTGACAGTCACCACTGATAAGCTACTACTAAATATTGTAGAAACTTAATTTGCTGTAAAGTTGCTTTGCAATGATTTATATTGTGTAAAGCGCTATACAAATAAACTTAAATTTGAATTGAATTGAAAATAAATCTTGAAGACAGGTTTTATTCATATAGGTACACTTTGTGTAGGTAACTATAAAGTTCACTCTATTCTTCTCCTAGTTTAACAGTGACTTACTTTCTTATATTTTGGGAGAAATGGGTAATTATATATCAACTGGCAACCCGCGGACCCAATCCGGCCCGCCAATCATCTTCATCCGGCCTGAGGGAAGAGTATGTGCAGGTCACACATACACCTTGAATTGTTTTTGTACTAATTAGTTTGTCCACAGGGTGACATCCCTGGCCCACGCCATTGTTTCACAACCGAAAAAGAAAAGGAAGAGACGAAACAACAACAACCCACCGGAGAAAGGCTGTGCTTTCGGCTGTTTGCATACTGAGCCGCTTCATACAGCGCGCCAGTAGCTCTTCAACCGACAAAAGCACACAATTATGCCAAAACTATAAAATACAATTTATAGTTTTTGTGAAGATTGTTTTTAATTCAATTAAATTAAAAGTTTTATTTTTCTGAGCCTACTAAATGTTAAAAATAATGTTTTTCAAATATACTGTAATGTTGAATGGCTATAATTAATGGTTAAAATTGAGGTGAAATGCATTAGAGATAAAAATGAAAATGCAATAGAGATATCAGTAGCAGTATTGGAATCAAAAATACTGGCCGTTGTTAATAATAGGCTACGTTGTAAAGAGAAGCCATTAAAATATACCACCTTTAATTTGGAGGTTTAATGTGAAATTATGACAATATATTAATATGCAATTAATCATGATTAATTACAGAAAAATGTGTGATTAATTAGTTTTTTTTTCATTGACTGACGGACAAAAGGTCTGGGCCTACTAATTTTTTTTTATATATAGATTTTGATGTTGGTATTAGATGATTTTACTGCTTAATATGCATTTAAATTAAATTCCTAATTTTATAGCCCCCCCACCCCACCCCCAGAAAGAGATCGGGACGAGCCCCTCCCCCTTGGCCCCCTTCAAATTTCTAATTCAATATATATAACACTTTGCAGCTTGCCTGCTGGTTTTTATAGACTGCTCTAATGAAAACACTTAATTAATTAAAAAATGCATAAATCAATTAATTCATTAAATAATTAATTTAGTTCATTGTGTGTTAAGGGTTTGATTATACTTACAAAAACACATAACACAAGCACTAATATTTAATGGTATTTAAGTGTTTATTATTTATTTAGAAGTAATTGGTTCAATTGATTCAATGCTTCAAAAAGCTTTGTTTCTCTCATCACTACTACAAAAATAAAAGCTTGCTGATTTTAAGTTTGAAAATGAAAAATGAAA